TGAACTGCTTGACCCTCATACGTCGAATACAACAGGAGAGTCCACCATTTATATATATATATATATATATATATATATATATATATATATATATATAATGGTAATTTGATATTTCACTTTTTGTAGAAAATTAATATTGCACTGGAAAGCTGGGGTTCCATGTTATATGAAGTCAGCCCCCAAATTACTTTCGTGCCAGACAAGGCTAAGAGATTACAAAATCCCTACAGAAGTTAGCGACGGAGAATGAGAAGAAGAGACTAACTATAAACTACAAGAAGACAGAATGTATGATCATCAATAAAAGGATGGGCCCGGATTATGATTTGCAGGTCGGGGACACTAGAATCAACCAGACGCGGAAGTTTAGTTATCTGGGAAGCATTTTGACAGAGGAGGTTAAGTGCGACAATAAGATCCATAGGCGTTTTAGGGTGGCCAAGGACGCATTCTAAAAGTTGGGCAGAGTATTGAGAGACAGGAGAATTTCTTTGGAAAAGAATACTGAGCTGTTAAATGACATCTGTCCTTCTTTAAGGCAGCGAATGTTGGATGATTTCCTCAAAGATGAAGAAGAGAATCGAGGCGATGGAGACAAGGAGAAAGCTTATATTTAACAAAATGAAGAGGCAGCTGAAGTTTCTGGGACACATCATGAAGAAGGCGGGTCTGCAGAATCTGATACTAACGTTTTGAATAGAGGGAAAGAGAGACAACGGAAAGCAACGAATGACATACCTAGCGGACTTAAACAAGTGGATGACAGAAAGTGGTCTGGAGACCTAGCAGAGGGAAAGAAACTTGTTGGGAACTGCAAGGTATAGAGATGGGTGGAGAGTCATGATCGACTACGCCCTTAAAGAAGATGGCACATTAAAAGAAAAGCTTTTTACCAATTTTTGAGCTCTACAATGATTTTGAAACACGCTAACGCCAGTTGAAATCCTCACAGTATTTAGTATTGTTGCAGTTATCGTGAAAATTTTAAGTCGAGATTTGCAAACGATACGTTTCTTTCAATTTCGCAAACCAATCGATGAAATTTGAATAAACTGATTTGTTTGGAAAAATTACATTGACAAAAAACTACTTTGCGTTTTAATAATTTCTTTAATTTAATTTTATAGGACTTCATGATAAACAATATTTTTTAAGAAAATTTCGTTTTTTTTTTCCTTTTTATCAGCGAAGAATAAATCCTTAAGTTTTCTTACTCTTGGGCATGCAACATAATACTGGCCAACCGTAAATATTTCTTTAGAACATTTTGAATCGTTTGGCCTTGTGATAATTCTATTGAGCGAACTGGAAACTGGATTCTTGTAAAAACTTAAGTTATGCAAAAAACTATATTGCGTTTTTATTTTAAAAGTATTTGTTATTTTAATCATTAAACTGTTTTTTTTATGTTGCGGGAGTATGTTAAATAATAAAACGTAATTTTAAAAAAAGAAATTAAAATTTAATTTAATTTTTTTAACTGTATTTTGTATGTCCTTATCTATTTCCACTTTTCCCAAAATTTTGTTTTGATCGGTCATTGGCTATTTTAGAGGGTCTGATGGACAGATTAACGGAAATAATATTTTAAGATTTAGTTTTAAAGAGTGTCTGAAAAATGTACACATATCTAATTTTCGCAGCTAGTTTTTTTACAAACTGACTGATTTCAAGAATAAATCCAATTAAAGTTGATATATCTTGCATTATATACATTGAATGGTAAATATATTCAAATCAAAATTCTTATTATGAATCACCACAAGCAAAATATGCAATTTCTTTTACTGTATTAGATAAGTCAAAACTGTAAAAAAATAATTGTAAATGATTACAAAAAGGCTACTTAATGAATAAGATGCGTTTAATAAAAAAAAAATGCATAAACGTGGATATAGCACCATAATACTGCTGGGCAGAAATTATACGACAAAATGTTTTATATTAGCATTGTTTATTGAAAATCACATTAAAACAACTGGAATCATTTGTGTTAATTCATCCCAAATAATGTAAAGTTTTAGCAAATATTAACTTACCGCAATAAATTATAAATTTCAAGTCAAAGTGTTTTCGATTTTTTAATAAATATTTTGAACTCTTTTGACATTATATATTTTAAATCAAAATTTATTTAGCTTACATCGCATCAACTCCAATCGTCAAAATGAAAAAAATTACCAAAAATAAAGGAAGTTATTCACATTTCATAAGTGGGGTTGATATTCGAGACATTTAAAAGGATTTATTGGTAAGATCTTTTTTTGGCTTGCTTATCGGTGTGAGCGTGAATATAACCCCTATACATAGAAATAACGCAACCGAGTCGCCCATATTTGTGGGGATCGCAAAGGTCAACCCAACAAAATTACAATGGAAGGACATCGCTTTGGGAGAATATGGTGTGAATTTTTGTAAATGTAGATTCTTTTTATTTTGGATGAATTAACAGAAAAAATCCAACTACTCTACTGTATAACATATTACATCATAATATAGCTAAATTGTTCAGTATATTTATATTTATATAAGTAAATGAAGGTCTTATTCGATTGCATAAGGATTTAGTAATAATGTGTATTGTGCCATGCATCTAATCCATCTACCGTTTATAAATCTTCAGTAAATTATAAATTTTATGAGTCTATGCTATAAGGTTGTACTGATCATCGGTATTAAATTCCATGATTTTGTACCTAAACTTAAAATTTAAACTCATTTTCTCAAAAATTGGTAACGCATTTTTTATCATTATTTATCATGTCGAAACCCAATTTTAAAATTAAGTGCAATACCAGACTTCAGAAATCGCCCTAGCCTAATATACATACCCAAAACCTAAAAAAAGACATTTCTAAAGAAATATTGGATTCTTATTTATTAATCCGGCTTATTTTTCATCACTTTAAACGTTATTTTAATGGTACCCATATTTGATAATTATATCGTATACTTGCATGAATATTCGATAAATCTTATTAAAAAAAATGGTAACGCTATTGGTAGCCAAAAGGTTAAAGAACGTCGGATCTAACGACGGTTTCACCTGTAAAGGGGGACACAGGAGCAAATCTTGCCGGATGGCACCATTTATCAACACCGAATGGCGACAATCTGTTTCATGCTGAAAATGCGTTCAGTCATGAAACTGGCTGTCACTAATTATAATTTGAATTTTATGTGTCAAATATTTTTCTTTCTATATTGTTTTATTACCAGAGAAAGCGCAGACAAAAGGAGTTTGACGAGGCGATTCGCATGAATTTGATTTTGCTGGACAACAGAGAATCCCATACACTTGACCAGAAGCGCATCCCTTGCGTCTCATAGGGTTTTGACACAGGCGAGATTAAGCAAACCTGTTTGTAGCAGATTATCGGATGCTTGCTCTGTCGAGGCCCGCTTAGTTACGCCAGCCCCACCGTCGCAGTTCCCTTCCACCAGTTTGGCCGAAGAAATCGTCTAGATCTTTGTCTGTTCAGCAGTTGGGGGTCTTCGGGGACTGGTCGCATTAAGTCTGGTCCCTCCTTCTCGATCTTACCGCCATGGGTGGCCCTACACGATTTGGAAGTTCAGATGGCTTCGCTCTTGGGATCACTGGGACAAGCAAGCCCTCTACCATGACAAGGAACGATCATATATAGTTTACACTGGATGTCTGAGTGAACAGTTCTTATCAAATGTATTAATTTGACTTACTATTATTTTAGTGACAATAATAAAGTGAATCAATAAGAAAAGAAAATTATCATAAAATAATTGAGAACATGTTTAATATTGTTGTTCTTAAAAGTATTTGAAAGATAAATAAATTTATATAATAAATGGGCTAGACTTTTTCAACTTTACTCCTAGAGGCCGTATCGAAACATATACCATTTTGGAATCAAGTTGACTTCGTGAGCAAATTGAAAATATTCCGAGCCAGATTCGAACCTGCAATGCTAATTCTGGATTCCCAAGTTTTCGTTACTCTGTGATTGTTTAGGCGATGTGTACGTGTTTTTTTTTTGTTTTTTTTTTTGCGATGAAATTTTTGTACGATAGAAGTTTTTTTTTTTTTAACTTAGAAATAAATGAAATTGGAAATAAGCGAAATTAATCGAGAAATTGAGCAAAAGTCACCCATGAAATAGAAATAATTCTTTGTACGGAAAGTAAGGACCTACGTGCATCAAATTGTCTTTAAATTAAGTGACGACAGAAGAAATTGTACGGAATGTAAATACCTACATACATGAAATTATCTTTAAACTAAGTGGCAGCGGAAGAATTATCGTTGACCTTTTAAAAGGTAAACATAAATATTAATGCAATACTTACATGCAGCGGTCAAATCTGTGTTCGTCTGTAGATTATGGTTGCCTATCGCATCTAATCCTCCCTAACTATTGAGATGAAGGCCCAATAAAGGGCCTCTGCAGGAGGTAGCTTACCCCCGCTCAAGGATAAGAGAGTAAATAATAAAGAGAGACATTAACTACTGAACTAGTTAAAACATAGTAAACAAAATAATGTCACGACTTGAAACACTTTTCCTAAAAATTTAGTTGTATCTTTATTATTATAATCCCCTCTTATTTTCCTGTAGAAAAAAAAAAAACATTATTTTGTATTTATTTAAACCTTTATTAATGTACAAATCCAAATCTACAGTTTAAAATATTCATTTTATTCGTGTCGTCGTCATTTATTGTAGACAAAACGTTTTATCTCGTGAGAAATTGTGTCCGTAAGTCGTAGGATATATTGGCTTAGTCTGGCAGAAAACCCAAATTCTTGAGCACCTAGATTTGAACAATCTTACTACAGGAGTAATGGTTTGTATCTGGAGCTTAATAACAAGGAAGGGGTGTTTTAAAACTACATTTTGAATATATATTGCAATCAAAATAAAATAAAAAAAATTAAAATTATTTAATATTTTTTCTTCCACGAAATAATTGCTTTCAGTTGCCTAATGTCCATAAGTTGTTTACTTCCTTTGCCAAAATTCTATCATGCCAATATCGCCCCAACCCTGTCTTCCGGCAAACCAATTCAATTCGTTTCGTGATTTTGCTCATTGAAAATTTTTATTGGCTACTAAGTACCTATCAACAATGAAGATATTGACTTGTTTTCGGTGTCGACGAAAATTTGTACGTCTAGTGTTTATGCTTTTATCTATACATTTATAAAACATATCTCTGTCTGTAGATTATCTATCACTTTCTTTACATATCTATCTTTTTCTTTACTTGTCTATCTATCTCTTTCTTTACTTAACTATCTATCTTTTATCTATCTTTCTTTACATTATCTATCTATCTATCTATCTATCTATCTATCTATCTATCTCTTTCTTATCTATCTCTTGCTTATCTATCTATCTCTTTCTTTACATATCTATCTATCTATCTCTTTCTTTACTTATCTATCTATCTTTTAATATATCAATCTCTCTTTCTTTACTTATCTATTTATCTCTTTCTTTACTTATCTATCTATCTTTTAACATATCAATCTCTCTTTACTTATCTATCTATCTTATTCTTTACTTATCTATCTATCTATCTATCTATCTATCTATCTATCTATCTATCTATCTCTTGCTTATCTATCTATCTATCTCTTTCTTATCTATCTATCTCTTTCTTTACATATCTATCTATCTCTTTCTTTACTTATCTATCTATCTTTTAACATATCAATCTCTCTTTACTTATCTATCTCTTTCTTTACTTATCTATCTCTTTCTTTACTTATCTATCTATCTATCTATCTATCTATCTATCTATCTCTTTCTTATCTATCTCTTGCTTATCTATCTATCTCTTTCTTTACATATCTATCTATCTATCTCTTTCTTTACTTATCTATCTATCTTTTAATATATCAATCTCTCTTTCTTTACTTATCTATTTATCTCTTTCTTTACTTATCTATCTATCTTTTAACATATCAATCTCTCTTTACTTATCTATCTATCTTATTCTTTACTTATCTATCTATCTATCTATCTATCTATCTATCTATCTCTTGCTTATCTATCTATCTATCTCTTTCTTATCTATCTATCTCTTTCTTTACATATCTATCTATCTCTTTCTTTACTTATCTATCTATCTTTTAACATATCAATCTCTCTTTACTTATCTATCTCTTTCTTTACTTATCTATCTATCTATCTATCTATCTATCTATCTATCTATCTATCTATCTATCTATCTATCTATCTCTTTTTTTACATATTTATCTACCTACGTCTTTACATATCTATCTTGCAATCTATCTTTCTTTTTCCTTTCTTCGTCTGTATCTATTTGTCAAAAAATTCTTCGTCTCTCGCTATCATTTTTGTTTTTTCCTTCTTTTTAGCATATATCTTTATAAAATTATGTACGCTACCGAAACCTTATAATCACAATGATGACATGCACAATACCATTTTCTTTAAAAAAATGAAGATAATTCCTACATTCTATCATATATCCATACTCAATTGTCATTGAAACAGCGTAGTATACGAATAGTCATAAAAGAAATGAATATATATATATATATATATATATATATATATATATATATATATATATATATGTGTGTGTGTGTGTGTGTGAAAACCGTTTAAATTAATAAAATTTAATTTCGAAAGCCACAATAATAATAAAATGAATGCTGTCTCGACTTGAATGTATAACATCTTCAACATATTTGTAAATATTTTTCATCACTCCCTTCCAAACCTATGTGTCCAGTGATAATTCATAGCTAAATAATGCAATGAACTGGACATGGTTAAATGGAATTGGTAGAAATGCCCAATAAACGGAATTGACAAAGTTTGCAATAAACAGTAACACGATAATTAAAAAAAAGAACAGGGCAAAAATAATATTAAGTAAGCAAACAATATATGCAAAGCAAAGCAATAGTAATATAAGAAAAGGTTCACAAACTATGAAAGGTGTCAGCACACAAAAGGGGATACAGACAAGCGATCACAGTCGTCTGACTTCAAGACAAGATGGAACAGAACTAAATCTGATAGGACGTATTGGCTAGGAAGAAATCCCAGCATGCATCTGTGTGTCCATAAATTTGGAAAAGCGATAATTTTGCAGTCATTGGATTGATATGAGCAGTAATTTTTAAATATGCAGTTTTTATTTTCTATTACGCTTCCAGTTTTCCCCAACGCTTGCACTGAGCACATATGCCAATTACCATCCCCATATATATATATAAGTTTGAGAGAGTGCCGAGTTTGAATTCCTGTTGAATTCATTACATTCATTTATATATATGTATATATATATATATGTATATATATATATATATATATGTGTGTGTGTGTGTGTGTTCGTTCGTTACATTTTACTGAGGAACCAACTTATAGTCGAATAAAAGCAGTACCCGATCTCATCATGTGATAGTAATATAAAACTTCGTTCCTTTCATCATAAACTTACTTATGCTTATTTATCAAGTGATGTACAAACATGGAGGAAATATTTACGTGTTCCCAAAGCGGTGTCAGGAAGATGTAGTCCAAATCGAGAAATTCATTTGCAAAGCTGATTTTCAAAATAAGCAGCCACACCTTCTTGAATCTTATAATTCTCAATTGTTGGCCTTGTGCGTTACTCACCTAAGCATACCAAATATAACTAACGGCGTGAATATAGACATTGCATGTTCCGCGAGAATGTCTTCAGATTATTGTCATATTCTAGACTTATTCACTAATTCTGTTATGCGTATAATCTCGATCATTTCTCTGGTTTCCCATTCTCTCAAATTCGTGAAAATGCTGTTCAGGAAAATTTGTACTGATCCTATAACTCCGAACAGAAATCTCACTTTTATATTTCAAAATTTATCGTCTCGTTTAGATCATCAAATTAATTTAATTATTTATTTAGAGTTTTGGTCGCTGTCTTTATATGTGCTTTTCACGATGCAGAGGTGTAGATAATGAAACGCATCAAACAAAACACATTAATCGTTGCTGTCTATTTTAATTATCTGGTCAAAGGTAAGAAATCCAAGTATAAGCGATGCAAATGTGTAATTGCTTGCCGGAGGAAGTTATGCACTATTATGGAAGTAAATACAACCAAAAATTATTTGATTGCTAAATATTTCATGTGAAAAAAGAGATGGGGATTATTAGATCGCAGAACGATGCAATTTCCAATATCATTCTATGCCTATCTATCTATCTATCTATCTATCTATCTATCTATCTATCTATCTAAATGAAATTTATATCGAGGTAAATAAAATCTATATAAATCTATGTAAATGAAGCTTATATATATATATATATATATATATATATATATATGTATGTGTGTGAATACATATATATGTGTGTGTGTAAATATATATATATATATGTATGTATAAATACATATATATGTATTTGTAAATATATATATATATATATATGTATGTATGTGTAAATATATATATATATACATGTATGTATGCGTAAATTTATATATAGGTATGTATGTGTATATATATATGTATGCGTAAATATATATATGTATGTAAATATATGTATGTGTAAATATATATATATATATATATATATATATATATATATATATATATATATATAAATATGTGTGTGTAAATATATATATATATATATATATATATATATATATATATATATATATACTATTTATATTGCTTGGGCTATCATCCTCATCTGTGTTGCCATATTCATCACAAAGTTTCGGCCGTTGTATACTCCGGCCTTTTTCAGGTTATTGGAATGTCGAACTGAACCTTTTATGTCAAGGACACATTGCACAGTGGATAATAATATCTGGTTAAGGCGGTGGAGAACATGGAGAGAGGAATTGACTGGAGATAACTGATAACAGATATGGCACGTAGAACTTGAACAGTCTAACCCAGCGAGCGAAATAAAGGGTTCAGTTCGACATTCCAACCATCTGAAGAAGGTCGGAGCGTATATCTGCCGAAACGTTAGGATAAACCTGTTGACAAAGATGAGAACAATAGTCCGAATAATGTAAATTGTGTCCTTCTCTGGCGTTTACAATTTTTAAATTGCCTTTCAGATAAATTACTATCAACCGTCTTTCATTTTTTATTAGTATTTCTTTCATCTTACTTTTACTTGTGTCTCATCGCAGTTACACAAGCACACATTCTACGTTTGCTTCTGTAATGTCCTTGTTTCAAGAGAATTAGAAGTAGTAGTATAAGTTCTAGCTGAAAGTCGTTTTCGTTTAGATCATTCATCGTCATCACAGCCATTGTTCGTAGCATCGTAGATTCTTCAAATCAAGAAGAGTCTGCACGCTCTCGCGTGTTTGTCGGTGAAAAAAAAATGGTTGCCTTTAACTGAGTTGTCTGTGTGTTGAAGTTAATATACATGCGAATAAAATTCGTACTGTAAAAAGCAAATAAACTTACGCAGATATCTGCATTCAAGCAAGCAGATTCTGAATAATCTACGTGTGAATTTAAAGTACTGAATCGTTTTTACTGATCCCCTAAAATAATAAAAGAATATGTGAAAAAAACACACACACACACACACACACACACAGAGAAAAAGGAATTTGGGAAAGGTGATGAAAAAAGATTTTAAGCAGTACAAGGGTAAAATCAGCAAAAAGAATGTAAAAAGATGTCAGGATTGAGAAAATAAAATAAAATATAGTAGTGGTGGTGAATGGATTGAAACGAATGCAAAAGAAAAAGTCAAATAGATTTAAAAAAAAAAAAAGATGGCAGACATCATTAGCAGACGATATCTTTAGTAATATTATCCGGCTCCTTAAATGTAATCATTCTGTATTCCTTGTTCTGAGCAGCCAGTGCTAGGCGAGTTAGGTTTGTCTTTACTCACTGACTATCGGACTGGTATCAAAGTGTCTTCATCTCTTATGTTCATGGTAATGTGGGCCGTTTCCGTATAAGGAACCATTGAGTATCTACTGACGAAACAGACAGTGCCATTTTCGGTTGAAATTTATAAAAGCTTTCGCTTAAAACATTTTATCAGCAAAGTTCTTAATTCCCAGTAGATGTCGGTAATCTTTCCAGTATAGATGGTGGCTTTTTTGCTAACTTTTTTATTTATAGTGGTGTGGAACGTCGACATCATGATTATGTCATTTTTTTTAATACCTGTGTCATCCATTTTAGTTGTTGGTAATTTTCAGGTGATGTTTTTTTCTATTATTTCATAGTCGTTCGCTGTGATTATCTGTTGCCAGACCACAAGGTTCTAGGAAGGATGATACGCTTTAAGACCTACAGTGTTTATTCGCTGGAAGACATTTTTAATCATTGATCTGAGAAATGGGTTTTATTCAGTTGGCTGTATAGATATTTCAGGACGAGTTTGTCACCGTAGATAACATCCGTATAAAACTATCCATCTGACAATGTTATATGATAACGTGAATCATGATTTCATGTTGATTTTTGGTTTAGTAGCAATTTGCAGTGTTGAGCGAAACTATACTTAGCATCGCCCATTCGATGTACAATTTTTTTTCATATCCTATTCTAAATTTCTTATAACTCTTTCACGAATAGAGGTATTTGAATTGATTTTCATTGTCTAATTCGACATCCTGAAATTGTATGATGGATTATCTGTAAGTGACATCTCTGTTTTACTTCTGTTATGGTCCAGGCTAGGACCAAGCAAGAACAACACGAACAGAAGAGTAGAAATAACGAAGGTATATTACACGAAATAATAATACAAGTTGTGCAAGGTGTTAGTATGACTGTCAGTCTGGTTTGGAGTGAACGACTATCGGCTCAACTCGATTCGACCCACTCTCTTCAGAGGTGTAGTATACATAGTGTTAGGAAGAGTTAATTCTGTAGTTATAGATAAGGACCCATGACAACTTCCAATTCCAGAAAATGTTTCCTATTTTGGAAAAGTGTATCTTGTGTACTACTTTTTGGAACACATGATAAATAGGAAATAAAATAAATAAATAAAAGAAAGAAGATTGAATTTAAGGTTAGTGGTTGACGAAAGAAAGATTAAATAAGAAAAAAGTAGTAAAGAAAAGACCCGGAGACAGTAGAAATATAAACAATAATAAATAAATAAATAAAATATAAAAGCGTACTCGATAAGCAAGAACGGAGAGAGCATGTCTAGTTTTAATAATAATAAAAAAATATGACAGAAATAAATTTTTGTAAACAGAGGAACAAGAATATGTTTAAAGATTCTAGATACAATACTAAGAATCTGCAATGTTATAGGTCCTGACCTGGCATCTCGGCCTCACTCACTTTCCTACTGATTTAATAGATCTTCGCTGTGTTTTTTTTTTCTCTACAAATATGTCCGTGGTAATTATTTCGATCTGATTTCCTCTATGGAACCTACACTTTGTGAATTTTATCATAGTACTAGATTGGTAACTAGGTCTCATCTTTTTACCGTTGAAATGGATATATGTAACCGTAAGTTCTATGTTAAATGTTTCTTCTTTTGCAATTCTCTTTCTCGATTTCTTGTTTTCTAGTCAAGCTTGACCTTCCAAAAGTTAAATGTTTTATGGTTCTCTCTATTTAATAATGTTTTTCTTTTATGTTCTTTCACACTCAGTAACCCTCTTGCGCCTTAGTGGCTTTATTGACTTGTCTTCTGTGAAATGATTAACAAAAAATAAATTTTATGGCAGTAAAGAAAAAAAGAATGAAAAATAAAGACATATATCACTGAAAAAGAAAAAAAAATGGGTAAGTTTTAAAAAATTAGTTTAAATTTCCAAGCTGAGGTATTGTAATTATTTACATTGTTCGGACTGTTGTCATTTTTATTGATATGTACTCAACGTTTCAGCCGTTGTACACTCGGGCCTTCTTTATTGAAAGAATAGGGTAGATCACCATCAACAGAGAACGTCACTGGAAAATACGAAAACTAAAGTAATCAGCATACATGATAGGCCAATAAAAATCTCCTAAGCCAGCCAAGTATAGAAATGAATACAATATGGGGAAAAAGTAATACGAAGTGTTAGAGAAAGGTAGTAATAAAAGGAAAATTGTAATATGAGCTGTGGTAAAAAAAACAAAACAAAAAAAACCCCAAAGAAAACAACAACAAAAAAAAAACGGTTACTGAGACATTAAGTTTAATTAAAAGTTTAAAAATTCATACACTGATGTCTTCAAGGACACATAACCCAGTGGACAAAAGAGTTGATTGGTTACAGTGACTTGACGCAAAGAGTTGTGAGTTCAACACCTGAACTTAGGGAGTTGAGTTAAAGGGAGATAACTGAGACATCAGAAAGAGTCATGGCACGCAGAACTAGAAAAATCTACTCCAGGGGACAAAATAAAGGGTTCAGTTCGAAATTCCAATCACCTGACGAAGACCGGTGTGTGCAACAGCCGAAGCCTCTGAAATATGGTAAGAAAGATGAGGACAACAATTCGAACAATGTAATTAATTTATGAAAACAATTTATATATATATATATATATATATATATATATATATATATATATATATATCAAGCCGGTAAATGTTATTAATACTGTTTATTATAAAACAGAGCATTTACTTAAATATCGGTATCTATAAAGCGAATTTATAAACAATAAAAATGTCTTAAAATAATTGTCCGACTTTGTCCATTTCACAATGTTTTGACATCATTTGATTACATTTGGATACGCTTTGAGCAGATATGAATATACGTGAGAGATTGAAGTTTAAAAGCAGTAAAATCGACTTTGCCAATCGAACGATTCTCCGTGGCCCGATCGGTTAAGGTACGTCTGGCTAAATGACGGTTCCGTAAAGGATACAGTTTCGATTCCTGTCGGACGACAAATATTTTCTATGACAATTTCTCGGAAATTCAGGCCGGTAAATGTTATTAATACTGTTTATTATAAACCAGAACATTTACTTAAATATCTGCATCTATAAAAAGAATGCATAAACATAAAATGTCTTAATATATATATATATATATATATATATATATATATATATATATATATATATATGTATATATATATAATTTATCTATAAATAATTTATAAAATAGAGGGGCAAGGATTAAATGTCACGCATTTAAAGAAAAGAGAACAAATGTTGAAGAAATATATCAATAAAGAAAGCGTGAAATTTAAAAAAAAAATCAATAAAGAAAAGAGGACAGGAACCGGAACTAAACACTGGAAGAAAGATGGACGTGCAGAGTAAGAGACGATTGTCAGAAACAAGAACAAAAATGAATACATTAAATAGATATGCGCATCAACACAGAACTAATTCCGACAAAAATAATAAATATAGAAAAAAGAAGACCAAATAACAGGAAGTCCTTGACAAGTCTAAGAATCAACTAAATGGCATTGCTATTGTGTATTTCTGAGAGCGTCGGTCGTCTGTCCATTCTCGATTGGCAGAGACAAAGATGGCGAGAAACAGAAAGTTAATTTACACAATCTGGGAACAGGCTTCCACACACCGACACAAGACTGAGGATGCGTGTTTTCACTGACATTCATTCCTTTGACCATTTCTAGATTTTTTTCCACATTGAACTATGAAAAATGTCTAATAACAATACTATAATAATAGATTTATTTCTTGTTTTCAGTATAGACTGACCGCATATCCTAAAAGCAGATCTGATATATTTGATGCCCAAGGACAAGTTCGATACGTCTTGTTCGCTTACTTGTCGGCAAAAGGAAAAAATTCGTATTGTTTGTCCATTTAAAATACTACACTTATCTGGAAATATATCCATGTCTAAATACAGAAGGGGTCATGAAAATTACTTCAAATGAGCGCTCATTACAGCTTTTCCAGTCAACCAAGTGTTGTTGTCAGATAGAATAGGAAATTAGCGTTCGTGAGACAGATGTTCATTTCAATTCAAATTATTTCTCTATCTTTTAGTCATTTCACTCCAAGGTAACGCAATAACCTCATTAAGCTGCAAAGGGTTACTGAGAGTGATATACATTGAGTAGAAATGACAATAATAGACCTGGATTAAGTAAAAAGACATAATTTGACGATTGAGGTTGTATTTTATTTTTTAATGATCGTAGTTGACAGGAAACCGTATGAGAATTCCACAGGTAAAAAGTTTGAGAATAAATACAGTTCTAAGAATAGAAATTATTAAAACTAGTAATTTAAACAGGAAATAGTGAGACCTAACCACCAATCGACTACTGCATCTAAATTCGTAAAGTCGAGGTCAGCAAAGACTAAATCTGATCTGAACAATTGCTATGAAATTATTTGTTAAAAAAAAAAAGAAGAGAAACTTCACAGCCGCCGTAGAAAGGGATTGAAACAGAAATGCTTTGTTACGATCGATGGGATTGACGGATTCTCTTTTGTTTCGGTGAAGAATTTATCTCTATCTAGCAGAAGCAACAGGCCAAATATGGCCATGAAATTCAATGAAGAGGCAAATGACAGACTCATAAATTTGCAAGATCAATTTCGGTGAGCCCAAAATGCGTAAGTAAATTTTAATTTAATGACAGATCTAAAAATATTTATACAAAACGAAAAAATAAAATCTTTAAAAAATAATTATTCTATTCAGACTGAATAATTTCCGAAATTTTCAATAAAATGTTACAGTTATCTGACATAGACTATTTACATTATTCGGACTATTGTCCTCATCTTTGTCGCCATATTTATTACAACGTTTCGGCCCTTCAGTATCTGTCTATTTTTCTGAGATGAGGTATTATGTACACTATTTACATTATTCGGACTATTGTCCTCATCTTTGTCGCCATATTTATTACAACGTTTCAGCCGTTGTACGCTCCGGCCTTCATCAGATGGTTGGAATGTCGAACTGAAGCCTTTATTTCGCTCACTGTGGTAGACCGTTCTAGTTCTGTGGAGAACTTCGAGAGGAAATTAACAGGAGATAACTGATAACTGACATCCATTAAACATGGCACGTGGAACTAGAACAGTCTACCCCAGTGAGCGAAATAAAGGGTTCAGTTCGACATTCCAACCATCTGATGAAGGCCGGAGCGTATAACAGTCGAAACGTTGTAATAAATATGGCGACAAAGATGAGGCAGTAGTCCGAATAAGGTAAATAGTGTACGTAATACCACATCTCAGAAATATAGAGATACTTATCTGGCGTATTTAGTGTTTCAAACATTAAGTTTCATTTTTGTCTTTAAATTTAAAAATCCTAAGCCAGTTTGTTCAGGGTGAATGGGATCCGGGAAATGTATTATTCAAGTGCTTTAGTTCTAACTCATTCCAACTATCTATGTATATGCGTGTACACGCGTGCTTTTGTGTACATTAAATGCTACAATCGCGTAGAAGTCACTCTTGCACAATATAACGGCTTATACATTACAATTACACGGTATATAGCGGAGAAGTGCATCTTTTTTTAATAATTATTCTTGAATTGTTTCGATCGTAGGCCCTTATTCGTAAACATGGGTGCATCTATTTACGTTTTGTTTTCTGAATTTGTGTATAGCATTAAAAAATAGCTTTAATCTCATTTTCTCACTCTTATTCAATTGTATATAGTTAAGTAATATATAAAAAACATATCTGGAAAATTTTATATTTGCCAGAATTTAGAAAGAAATGAAAAAGCGGGAAATCGTAGAATTTTGTCTGAAAGCCTCAAGAGAAATAAATGAATAAATCAAAATCTGACATGTTCTTCTCAGGCATAGTTTAACTTTTATTCATTTTCCTCTCAAAAGCGCTAATATTAAAGTTGTTAAAAGCCGCCATCTTTTCTCACTATTTAACTTTTTGAATCTGACATGAAGCGCAATGCTGGACAAGCAGGGTTCCATGGTGCGAGATCCGTACTAACCAACGGGTCAGAGTTTAAAAGTTTAACCAATAAGATTATCAGCTCAAAATTACATTTCGACAAAACATATACCCTGACATTGAACGTGGAAACGACAGTGGTAAGCAAATCTTTCAGCAAACCAATACGACTGAGAATCCGGTTAAAATTTTCAGTTTTCCTATTTTACTTTTGTGATGAATCATAATTCTTAAGTTAACAGATGAATATGCTCAGGAGGAGTTCTACAACAATAAAATATCCATAAAAATTACCTTATTACATCGTTAAAGATTCGAGATTTCATTGCTGTATCAATCATAAATATGAATGTTGTTTGTTATTTTAAGAAGTAAGGGTGTTCAAATTAAATGATTTCAAATTGAAAATTGTTTAGATTTCAATGAAACAGATATTAAACACTTCTTTCCTTATTTCTTTCGTTCATTTTCTCACTGAAACCAAGTAGCGTCTGTGGTAGGTTTCCCCGTCTATCCATGCGTTAAAAACGGATTAGTCCATTATTTCTTTTAGGTATTGGCAGAAAAGAAAACGGTAAACACTTTTGTCTTCCCATCTTTCTCTACTTTATTCATTCATCATTTTCTCGCGGAAACCGCGTAGCATTTCCGTTATGTCTTTTCCGTCTTCCACGTGATCAAAACGGAATTGTCCATTATTTACGAGTTATTGGCAGGAGACGTTATCTCTCTTTCTTTCTTTCTCTTCATCCTTTCTTTTCTGTCTCTTCATTCTACTTTTCTTTCTTTCTTTCTCTTAGTTCTTTCTTTCTTTATTTCTCGTCGTTCTTTAATCTTTATTTCTCGTCGTTCTTTCTTTCTTCTCTTCTTTCGTTCTTTCTTTCTCTTCGTTCGTTATTTCTTTCTCGTCGTTCTTTCTTTCTTTCAGTTCTTTCTTTCAGTTCTTTCTTTCTTTCAGTTCTTTCTTTCTTTCTTTCTTCTCTTCTTTCGTTCTTTCTTTCTTCTCTTCGTTCGTTCTTTCTTTCTCGTCATTCTTTCTTTTTTTCTTTCTCTTCGTTCTTCTTTTCTTTCTTTCTTCTCTTCTTTCGTTATTTCTTTATTCTCTTCGTTCGTTCTTTCTTTCTCGTCGTTCTTTCTTTCTTTCACTTCGTTCTTTCTTTCTTTCTTCTCTTCTTTCGTTCTTTCTTCTCTTCTTTCGTTCTTTCTTTCTCATCGTTCTTTCTTTCTTTCTCTTCGTTCGTTCTTTCTTTCTTTCTTCTCTTCTCTTCTTTCGTTCTTTCTTTCTTCTCTTCTTTTCGTTCTTTCTTTCTCGTCGTTCTTTCTTTCTCTTCGTTCTTTCTTTCTTTCTTCTCTTCTTTCGTTCTTTCTTTCTTCTCTTCTTTCGTTCTTTCTTTCTCGTCGTTCTTTCTTTCTTTCTCTTCGTTCTTTCTTTCTTTCTTTCTTTCTTTCTTCTCTTCTTTCGTTCTTTCTTTCTCGTCGTTCTTTCTTTCTTTCTTTCTCTTCGTTCGTTCTTTCTTTTTTATTTCTTCTCTTCTTTCGTTCTTTCTTTCTTCTCTTCGTTCGTTCTTTCTTTCTCGTCGTTCTTTCTTTCTTTCTTTCTTTCTTTCTTTCTTTCTTTCTCTCTTTCTTTCTTTCTTTCTTTCTTTCTTTTCTTTCTTTTGTTCGTTCTTTCATTCATCCGTCGTTCGTTCTTTCTTTCGTTCGTTCGTTCGTTCGTTCGTTCGTTCTTTCTCTCTTTTTTTCCTCACTGAAATCAAGTCACCTTTCTGATATATCTTTTCCGTTTTTCCACGCATTCAAAACGGAATGGTCTGTTATTTATAAGGTATTGTCAGGGGATAATGGTCGTGCTAACGAAGGAATAAACAAGCATAATTATAGTAAATTAATGATTTTTTTTTCTTTTTTACTTTAATTCGCCCAATACAAAGACCGAGCGACAATCAAGTCATATTGTTATTCAAAGGAGAGGAGGTTGTAAAACTTGCATATTAAGAGGATATGTGATATAGATATCGATTGTAGTGGCAAGGGTAGTATCCACCCCAGAGTCTGTGTCCCCAAGTACAGTTCGAGAGAAAAAGTTGTGTGAAGTGTGGAATTTACTCCTAACAAATAAACACGAATTAAATTAGGAAAACGGTTCGCCGTGTACACGGTATGGCGCTCGTAACTGTAAAGGTCTGAGCAGGTAGGACTCTGCAATCTAACTTGTCTGAATATTTGTCGTAATAATAGCGATATTGTGTGAGACGTTCCGTAATCCAAATTTGGTGTCCTAGGCATGAGGCTTTATGTCTGATGAGTCTAAGCTGAACAAATATTAATCTATATATATATAAAGTTGTAACCTCTGTCTGTTTGTTACAAAACACCTCCTAGGGTTTTGGAGATAGACCCCATGACCATATCTATCCTGAAACTACATTGGCGATCATACTTCGATAAGAACATTTCATTTTTATCAAAGAGGTCCCGGGGGGGGGATCACCCCCACTGATTTATTTTCCTTTTGATTTAAATTAAATTTAAATCTGAACAGAGGAATGATTTCTATACAAAATATAGAAAGAGAAAGCCAGAAGATGGAGGTCACATCTGCAAGATCAAAATGAGACAATATAGACGCCATGTTGAGCAAGAAATCACGAGAAAGTGGGTAGTGTGCCTTACAATACATATTTGTTACGACAATTCACCTGACATATCAATGTTAAAATCTGCTCATCAATTCATTCAATCAAGTATAGCATCAAATACTTATCAAAGGGGTCAGATCAAGCTGATAAAACTTCCACTTTGATTTAACTTTGAACAAAGGAATGACTCCTATCCAAAATATAGAACGAGAAAGCCGGAAGATGGAGGTCACAATGGCAAGATCATTGAGTAATATAGAAATGCATCATTTTTATCCACAAATTATAACAATGATTTAAGATTAATCATCATTTTCTTACAATAAAATGTGTGACACGCATCAAGGCGCGGGTAATTCGGCTAGTATTATATATATATATATATATATATATATATATATATATATATATGTATATATATGAGAGAGAGAGTTAAACAGTTTCCTACGGCGAAAAATATTTAAAGATTGGCGGGATCGCAAGATCATCCACGGTAAATTTATGCCCTGGCTCTTATAACATTTCACCATTCGTAGTGGATCGTCTATTCTCACTGTGTGGATATCAAATAAGAAAAGCGATGAAAAGAAAAATAATCTAAATGAAATTGGCTAGATAATATATATATATATATATATATATATATATATATATATATATATATATAAACAAATTAAAAAGAAAACATTAGAATTCCCAGCATCCCTCATTCGTGTACATATGTAGTCGTACCAACGGAACAAATTCAGTCTGATGAAGTCCTAAAGAACAAACGCATCACACGAAAACTTTTTCGACTTTCTCTTACATTTTTCCGCATATATATATATATATATATGTATGTATGTATGTATATTACTTTAAACGTATTTTTTGTGCATAATCTTATTTTTTTTAGTGTATACTAGTATACTTCATAAACAGTATATTTATATTCGCCTTACGGCCTGAATTCTCGAGATTTTTAATTGGATATAAAATTGGACTCTTGGAAGGATTTAAGCCTACGTCCCTCAAGGCAGAAGAATCTTCCGTTAAACCCTGCACGCCTTAACCGGCTTGGCCACAAAGAGCAGTCGGAGTGTTGAAGACAAATTTAGGGCCTTCAGTAGAATTTTTCCCGTCATAGAATCTCTCGAAGTTTTCATATGTCCACAGTTTCGGATTAAAGTTTTAAAGTTGATTTTTTGTATTAACCTGACAGATTTTTATAATCTTAAATGTTATTTTTAGTGGGTACTCGTATTTGAGTAGTTAAACCGTTTATTTATTATAACAGTGTACTTATTTTCTTCTACCGGCCTGAATGTTCAAAAATCTTTATATATATATATATATATATATATATATATATATAAATATAAAAAGTAGACATAGAAGTCAACATTTAGAGGCGACAGTCTGTTTCATGCTATATGCAATCGTCATATATAGCATGGAACAGACTTTCGCCTCTAAGTGTTGACTTTATGTTCACTTTTATATTTACACACGCTCTATCTCTGATATTGAGCACTTTACCCCATAAATATAGCACACCTTAAGACTATATTTCTTTTTATATATATATATATATATATATATATATATATATATATATATATATTTCCTGAAATGTTTGTAATACTTAGTGCACTAGAAGTATCTTCACAGATCAGATGCTAGTATCAGCCATGCTGATTGGAGGCAAGAAATGATCTATCTATCTATCTATCTATCTATCTATCTTAATCCTTGTACTTTGTTTTATTAAATGTCAATATTCGGAGTGTCGGGATTCGATACAATAACATAAAATATTGTTGCGGGACTGCTCGTAATTCGGCCATTTAAAATAATCTCACGAATTTTATCGAAAGAATAAAATCCAGTAGAAAAGGACAAAGGTATCAACGTATAAACATTAATTTAAAATAGCGAAAAGAATACAGAAAGGTGGTTAAATGTATTGAATAATAAAATCTTTTTGGTTAGTTTATTAAGATTACTCGGATAAAAATATAAACTGCATTGCGTACATATGTGAAAACAGTGAAATGTTTTTATATATGCTTTTGTGTGAAAGAGTCAATACATAAATGCGTGCTTACTAGTAACGGTGGATACACGACATTGTTAGAATTTAGTTATTACTCTTAGTTTCTTAGTAGTTTGTAAGCGCTGTCGTTTTTATTTTTTGCGTGTGGACGTGAATGGGGTCTTGAAGACAAGCAGTTATAGTGACGTGGATCTTGGTGACATCTGTGCGTCTCATTTTGTGGGGCGAGCTCCGTGTATTTTACACACATTTTAGTAAGAAAATCGGCTTCAGAATTATATTATTTACTAGCAGTAGAGCCCGGCGTTGCCCTGGGATATAACAGTAAGAGATAGATCAAGTATCCACCATCATAAAGACTGAAAAATAAAATTGACAAAGAGTATTGTTTAAGGTTGACGGACACGCATATCTTAATTAGTTTTTTTTTTTTTACGAATTGGTCAAACTCAAACGAAAACATTGTTTTCAATCGTTATGAGTCTCCCGATTGAATAGAATAATTTTATAAACAATTGTCTTATAAATGGAATTTTTAAAGCATTCTAGATGTAAAAATAAAGAAAAAAGTGTGCAAGACAATAAGAAACACTATATGCCAAAAAAAAAAGTAAAGTTTTGTTGAAATCGGTTGAAAATGTAGGTAGCCTTTCTGTAATCTTTTAGTTTTACAATTTATGATTTTTACTTATTGAATACAGTAAAAATAATTGCATATTTTGCTTGTGGTGATTCATAATTAGAATTCTGATTTGAATATATTTTGCACTCATTGTTTCTAATACAAAAAATATTAACTTTATTTGGGTTTATTAATTATGATCTAACAAATCTTATTAATTTAGTAACCTTTCTGTGATAATAATCTTTTACAATTTATGATTTTTACTTATTGAATACAGTAAAAAAATTGTACACCATGTGTATTTAAAGTAGTTTCCCGTTCCGGTTATTATTTTTAGTTAGGACTTGTGTATGTTTAGATTTCATTATCTTTCCCTAAAGATAAAGAATTTATTCGATGTTTGTATTCGTACAATCAGTATAGATCGTTAGATTATTGTTTAAGGTCGACGGATACGCATGTCTTACTTATTTTTATTTATTTTTTTTTTATTTTTTACGAATTGGTCAAACCCAAACTCAAATAAAAACATTGTTTTCAATCGTTATGAGTCTCCCGATTGAATTTTATTATAAATAATTGTCTTGTAAATGGAATTTTTAAAACATTCTGAATGTTAAGAATAAAGAAAAAAGTGTGCAAGAGAATAAGAAACACTACCTGCCAAAAAAAAAAAGTGAAGTTTTGTTTTATCGGCTGAAAAATATAGGAAATCCGCTCCCATATTTAAAGGAACCCACACACACACACAAACGACCCGATGTGAGTTGTCCCCCTTCCATTTTCACGATGTCTCTTAATCGTGTTTTCAAATTGATTTTGTGCAAAAACAATTATATTTTTTCCATTTTTGGCGCTGTTAGAACCACCACAAGGTAATTTTATGTAGTCCTGTGAAGTTTTGTTGAAATCGGTTGAAAAATGGAGGAAATCCGATCCAATATATAAACGTTACAGACACACACACACACACACACACACACACACACACACACACACACAAAAATCTGCGTTTTATAATAAGTAAGATTTCTTCCTAATTGGCCCTAAAAATTCACGTGGTGTGTCTTCTACTACGTCCGCACAATATTTTGGCGGTATCTACCTAAATCATGACGACTAATAAAACAACGTTTCTGATGTGTATTCTATGGTTTTATCGGTGTGTTTTAAGGTGTAATCATTTTATTGATTCTTCTCCCCACACAGCCATGGGTAAATAGCAGGATAGACCAGGTTCTATAACCTTGGATGGCAACTGGTTTACCGCAGAAGCAAATGGCAACCTACTTCAGAAAAAAATCTGCCTTGTTTATCATGTATTGAATGATACATGATCGCCTAAGCGTTTGTCACGCATAGCACATAAATTACTTAGTCGTAAACGACGAAATGCCTCTCACAAAAACTTATAGAGGGTGATTAAAAATTAAATCCCCATTTTAAAATAATTATTATTTACATATTATGTATAATTTTTACCAGAAATGACTATGGGCGGAAAGCGTTCAACATAAAGTTTTATTTAAAATTCGATTGTATACGCATCGAGCAGATATGAATGTACGAGAGAAAACCATGGTGAATTGTAGTTTAAATACAGTAAAATCGACCTAGCTAACCGAAACGATTCTCTGTGATTCAATTGGTAAAAGCACGTCAGGCTATATGACGATTTCGTATAAGATACAGGTTCGATTCCTGTTGGACGTCACATATTTTTTATGAAAATTTCTCGGACATTCAGACCGGCAAATGTCGTTAATACTGTTTATTATAAGCAGAGCATATTTGTATCTATAAAAAGAACGTATAAACATAAAAAATGTCTGAATATCGTGTAATTGATTGGGGTTGTTGTACCTTCTTCCTTTAATGTCGATCTTATATCTAGAGACGAGTTAAGTTTGAGCAACATCTAGCCGACACACTGGGGTTAAAAATAGGAAATTGAAATGATACATATGACACACTCATATCCTCTCTCCCACCTCACTTCCTCACTTCGTTAATTTTACGTATACTTGATGAGGTCCGTCAAAAACGTGTGAATTTCTTTTCATTTTTCATTTCAGCTTTTGGAAGTAAAGTCTGATGATCCAGAACCCTGTAAAAGGGGTTATGGTGAAATAGCTTATTACATGGAATCTTAACGTGGTCTGTTTTTATTCAAACATATCTGCTCTGAATTTTACATTGAGCTCTCTGGATATCATCCTCCTCGTGTCTACCCATACGGATTACCTAAGTTTGCATAAACTATATATATATATATATATATATATATATATATATGATAATTCTAAATTCTAACATAACATCATGAGTCTATTGTTTATACGTCAACTATTTTGACGGAAGCCTGGCAGGGCTTTGTAAAAGGAACGTGGAATTTTAAGAAGTTTGGTTGCGAGTGATAGGAAAAATCGAAAGAAATCAGCTAATCATAATAAGCTAAAGATATATAAGGAATAGCTACAGACAATTTTTTTTTTTGGTGTGTGTGTATGTGTGTCTGTTCCTCCTTTCCCCCAAGTTGAAATATTTTGTCTAGACATCAATTTAGTGCTTATCTCGAAGAGACTGATATTGACTTCAGGAAGATAAAGAATAGAAGGAGAAAAAAAAGAAGGTATATCTGTTCTCTTTAAAACCGCTATTGGCCGATGAAACGGTTCTTTCATGTTTCGTCTCGTTAGGAAGTCGCTTAGGTGTATTTCTTGATGACAATTTTTAGAAGCCAGAAGTTTAGATAAGGAACGGCAGCATTAATTTAGGGTCTTCAGATATCTCTGAGAAATTATTTTTATTATTATTCATTTCCTTTTGTTATTTCTTTCTGCATTTTAAATTTCTTGAAAGACCGTACGAACCCTGAAAAATGGTTTCAAACGCACACATACCTTGTTCTCGTCTTATATAAAGTCAAACTGTCAGTCTATCTAAGTCTTGTTCGTTCACTAGAGAAGACACGACTTTTGTCTTCATTTTAACACTACATAAACTTTAATATTATTTATTTGCTTGTTTTCTACGTGACACAGACATTACTACGTTTTGAACCCGAAACTCAAGTCCTCAACTTCAATTTCAAAATTCAAATCAAAATTTAGAGTATGGTTTTATTTTGTAAGCGATGTTGAAAATAACTTACGGAGAATCAGTTTACTCAATTTATAAGTTAAGAAACCTGATGGTATCAGGTTCCTTATTTCTTACCAAGGTTTTCGGCTTTTGTGAATGAAGGGAATAGGAATGTTTATTGAATGTCAAGATTTTGTAGCCGTTTAAGTTTTTTTTTCGTCTGGCTACGTCAGCTTTTATTAGGCTTTATCCTTTACTTTGTATCAAGCACCTTTTTTTAATATTTAAATAAAAAAAATAATAAAGAATTTTAAACCATAAATCTAACTGTTATCTCCTATTATTTGAACACACAGACAGACAGACACACAGACAGACATACACACACACACACACACACACATATATATATATATATATATATATATATATATATATATATATATATATATTACTTATAACTTAGTGTATATGTGGGACAGAGTTCACAGTCAGTCTATGCCAAGCAGATTCACTCTGCACACTTTAGTTTCCTTACCATAGCAACAGTCCCAATACATTCAGAGCAGACATCATATATATATATATATATATATATATATATATATATATGTGTGTGTGTGTGTGTGTATATATGTCTGCATGTATATGTATATATATATATGTATATATATATATATATATATATATATACATTATATATATTATATATTACATCATGTATATATTATATATTACCTTATATATATATATATATATATTACTAGTATATATATATATATATAGATGTATTATATTACATATATATATATATATATATATATATATATTACATTATATATATATTTTTATTATATTACATTATATATATATATATATATATAATACATTTTATATATTATATATATTATATTATCTATATATATATATATTACATTTCATATATATATATATTACATTTATATATATATTACGTTATATATA